GTTGAGTAATATCTTTCCAAAGAGGTTTGCAAATTTAAGAAGCAATTGTTGAAATTGGGCTCCTTTACTTGGGGTTAGAGGTCCTATCTTTGGGGTTATTTTTTGAGTTACAGTATATACTTCTTGTCTCAATAAATTTCTTTGTATAGCTTGTTTAAGGGCGTCTGTTTCTGTTGGTAATTTATCTGGATTACCAAGTAGTTTTTCATCATGCTTAGGATTATTTAAAAATTTAAAGGTCCATTCTCAGAGAAAGAAAACTCTAAGTATAATTCTTGCAATCTAGTATAAAAAGCTTCAAGGTGCTTAACTCTATCCTGAAGGGTAGCAATAGTCTGAACTTGTTGTTCAAAGGTCTGAATCTTTTCTTAGAAAACATTCAACTTTTTGTCACAACAAGCAAATTATCTCCTGTGTGATATCATTAGTAATAGATGGAGTTGGTTTTGGAGTTGGTTTTTCTGGTTCTGATACTGATACAGGAAGAGGAAGATGAAGTTTATCATAATACTCTTGACAGTATTGATCATATTGTGCAAATTTAGTTTTAGCTTTGGCCATCAAACAATTTTTACAAAGTCCTACTGTTCCTAGGAAATTTCTTTGAAAATTTTGCATAGCTCTATGCTGATCAAAGTCAGGATGGCTAATATCAAACAATTCAGCTAAAATTCTCTGCAATTTATCTTCTTCAGTAGAGGTCAGTTGAATATGAGGAGCTCTCATGATGAGGTTAATTTCATCATCAGTATAGTTCTGGTTAGATCTGTTAGTAGCTAAAGATTCAAGAGCATTAGCAATTTGTTCATTGCTTTTATTAAGTTGAATCTGGGCTAGATGATAGATTCGACTTTGGTTAAGATCATAAGCATATTCAGCATTTCTAATAGACTCTGTATAGTGCTTAACTCGGGTTCATAGATTGTAACAAGGATTCATTCAATATCCTTAGCAGTCTTGTAAGTATACAAGTGCTCCAAGTTACAAAACCAGGTATCTTTTTCAACTGTGTCTAGTTTGTACATTCTGAATCTAATAAATTCCTCACTACAAACTCTATACTTGGTTAACATTCCTCATCTATCACTATTAGTAAAGTATTCAATACTTCAAGGGTTATCTAGGTCCAATTCATGGTGGAAGTTAGTTCAATATACTTTACAGACAAGATTCTAGTCAAGCAATCTAAGTTCTTCAGTTCACTAGAGTACTTTATATTAACAACAATGGTGGGTCCTTTTTCGAGAGTAATAAGTTTGCCATTATTCATTTACTTCATCAGAGAAATATCCACATCTGTATCTTTGATTATTCAACTTGTAAGTAGCAAAAGGACAGTCAATTCTGATATGACTATATTGATCATATTGATGACATCTATTTTGAGGACAGTTTCTATAAAGATGTTCAGGTTGAGAACAAGTTTTGCAAATATCTCTTTTTGGAGCTTGATGAAAGCAGTAAGCAGAGATATGTCCATATTGATGACAACAGTGGCATTGATTGTGAGGGCAGTCAGCAAAAAGGTGATTAGTAAAATAGCATCCTCTACAAGTTCTACTAGTTGATACTTGAGAAGTTTTATATCTGGATCTAGAGGTTTGGATGGTTCAAAGGTTTTCATTAGTTAAAGTTGTAGAAGTAACAGTATAAGCTTCTTTGGAAGTAAAGTATTCCTGTTTAAATTAAGCTAATTCTTTTTCATTAGTTATAGTAGTTTAGCAGGTAGAGGTTGATGCTGTTCATAGGTAGTTAAAACATAAATCTTCTTTTATTCTATCTAATAGTATAAGCTTTATTTTTCTAATTATAACTGGCTTCAACTTTTTGTGACCAGTCATTTCCCAAAAGCAAAGAATAAGAAGTGGCAGACATCACTTTGACATCAAGTAGGATAGTAATGTCTTCAATTTTAACAGAGAGATTTTTAATAATTCTCAAGAGTTTTGTAGAAGGTCCAATAGCTAATACAATTAAACTGGTAGAGGGTGCTTCAATTTTTAAATCAAGTTCCTTAACAACTTGATGAGATATTATGCTAATTGCAGCTCCACTATCGATAATAGCATGATAAGATCTATTTTTAAGTTTGATATTATATTTGACAGAAGTGGTGTAAGTAGTGTCTGTGTCTGATTAGGAGTACTAGATTCTTCTATAAGATAACTAGCTAAAGCTGTTCTAATTGATTCATTAACTAAGAAGGTTTCAAATTGTTCATAAGTATAATCATTTGTAGTGTCAGTAGTATATATATCTCTAGGATAAGGGTAGAAGACAACTTCTAGACCTGTTATTGCGATTATAAGAAGAACAATTATTAGAATGATATCTATTATAAGATTGGCTTTTACTTCTAGATCTATTTCTTCTGTCATAATCTTAATTTTTGGATCTATCTCGATTATGAGATTGAGATCTATCATAGAATCGATTATTTCTAAAAGAATATCTATTATCTTGGCTAGAGGATTGGTAGTCTGAGTAGTTTCTTCTGCTATCCTCTTTTCTTGCTTTACAATCTCAAATAAAATGTTCTCTTTTATCACAGTAATAGCAAGTAGTATCTAGAGAATTATTATTGTTGTTTCAGCGAGAAGAGTTGTTATTATTGTTTTGACAAGAAGGGTTGTTGTTATTATTATTGTTAGCTTCTGAATAATAGACTGGAGTGGTAGGTTGTTGCATAACGAAGTTGATGTTTAGTTTGGCAAGTTCATTAGCAAGTCATTCTATTACTTGGGTGTTGCTATTACCATTAACATTATTTTCAGCAACCATAACTCATCCTGTTTCCTACCTTCTTGCTTCTTCTAGAATTTACTTATTTGTGCAAGTGATATAAACCTAAAAAAGGAAATTCAATGTAAAAATAAACTACATATGCACAGATTTGTTGAAATCATTGTTTGTTTTGACGCATCTACAATTTTGGTTACACAAATACAAGGTGCGTTAGCTAGTTGACAATCAATAAAATTTTGAATAAAATTTCACTTATTGTATATTAAATATATATTTAATTTGTCCAAATACCTATTTATTATATCGATCCCTTTTCACACAGAAAAAGTTTTTAAATTGTGTAGCATCTGCATAATAAATTTTAAACACTGATATTAACATTAATTGAGCCTAGAAAATTTATATATTATTCTAATATAGTGTTAAGTCCTGTAAGGTGATAGATTTGGAACCAAGTTTACGGTGTTTCTGGCAACATTTTTTTTTTTAAAAAAAAAAAAAGTAAAATAAAAATTATATCTGCCATGTGCACTAACTAAAATTACAAAAGAGCTAGATACATTATATAGCCAAGATTTGTTGGATTTATAATAAGCAGTCTATAAGTTTGAAAAAAATCCATGTTCTGCAGCAAGTTATTTTGCACAAGAATATTGAAGTGGGTATTTAGTCAAGTATGCTATAATAATAGATGTAATATTTAAACATCAGAATATTAATATAAACAATAGATTACAATCTAGTTTTAATTAATATTTGCATAAATATTAGAAAAAAAAACTTAATAAAAAGTGAATATACTACTAACTACAAATACTCTAAAGTGTGATGAAGTAGTTTAATTCAAAGTAGAATTTGGTTAATATAAAAATTTTTAGATATAACATCGTAAAAAGAGATAAGATAAATGTAATTGCCGTCTTTTGACAAATGCTTTATAGAAAAACAAGTTTATCATTTTTAATCCCAATTCCATTTTTACAACAGCAACCAACTTAACATGTTCTTGGTCGGATTCTATTTCAGCAGATTTTTGAAAATAAATAAATGCTTTATATTCATCTTTCTTAATTTTGAATCTATAATAGGCAATTACATTCATTCTATAAGTATAGCCCATTTCAACAGATTTTTGAAAATAAATAGTTGTTTTATTTTTATCTCTTTCAACAGTAAATCTATTTCGATAATAGACACCAGCTTTAAACGTTCTATTAGTACTTCCTATGCCAGCAGATTTTTGATAAGAAATAAATAGCTTGTGCTCATTCTTTTTAGCTTTAAATTGACTGTTTTACATGAAATAACAAAAAATAAATTAATATTAGAATTTTCAAAAATTTAATCATAACTGATAAATAAAAGTATCACACTATTAGTTGCTTTCCTCATTCTCCCACTATTTTTGATCAAAGTTGAAAAACTATTGACCCAAAGTTTACTCCATTTCCACTGTAATAATAATAATAATAATAATAAACATATAAGTACAAACTAAATACTAATTAAATGCGCTTTGGAATATAAAAATATCTAAACTGATAAGTCTTTTGCATCTATTCTTGTAAAGTAAGATATTAAATTAATGTATTTAAATTCAAATAAATGAGTATACATCATAGATAGGTTACGAAAAATCAAAGTACTTTCGATCAGAGATTTACTAAAAAAAAATCAGAACTCTAAATAATAAATTATATAATTTGAAACTTGATTGTATTAGTAAAAATTACAGTTTTGTCATATAAATAGATACTGTAATGTACTGTTTTACTTATTTGATTACTGCAGAGGAAAGATCTATTTAAGTTTTCACTGTAGCAAGTTTGCCCTTAGAAGAATTGTGGTGTTACGTAGCTTGTCACTGTTCTAATTAAGCCTCTAATATAGCTGCTATATATTATTGTATTGCTAAATTACCAAATATGATTTTTCAAAGACTAAGTTCATTATAATGGAAACTTAATATTTGCCTTTAAGTTTTTTCCTTTGCATTACTCATTTAAAAAATCTAGATTATACACTCCTAGATACTTAGCCGAGAGTAAACATATAAAGACGTTTTGGTTAAGAAATATCTGTGTATAATAATATCTAATTGTATAACTTTTTCTTATAAAAATAACCTCCTATCAAATTATATGAAAGTATTGTAAAGGAGTACTAAAGTAATACATTATTAATAAACTTGCATGTTGGTGGTCACTTATAATTTGTCCAAATATATCCAAAAAAATTAATTATTGGCTGTGAATATGAGGGCTGATGTGAGAATGAGATTGGTAGCACTTCCTGTTGGTCCTGTTGGTGTCATTCAACTACAAAAATTAATATATAGTGATTATTTAAAATACATTAACGAATACTAAAATTTTAAGAAAAATCAGGCTCACCTATTATACCGCCTAAAAGCAAATAAACTAAACAATGCATATTCAAAAATAATACTTACAATCCTAGTTTAGATATGATCATATTTTCTATAACACATGAGTCTTGTTTAGAAAAGAGTTAGGTATTACTTATATTGATTAATATATAGACGATCTTTCTAAATGTACATTGCTGAGATGAGAGAAAAACTGCAAAAATCTGCATTTAAAGAGATTCAGAATTTAGAAAGACTAATATTTAAATTTTCATATTTTGTATCAAAAATGGCTTGCAAAGTAAACATTTTTATTAAGACTTACACTTAGAAGACAGACACTTAGAGAGCTTACTGTATTTTGAATAATAAAACCTCTTTTTAAAAAGATAAATATATTTAGATATACTTAGATCATCTTTATGAAATATAAGAAATAATTTATCTATTTTTGTCTGATATATGTTTTCATAAATTTTAAGATTTCTGATAATTGGCTTGTCCTTCAAAGATAAAAATTAAAATTGAATTTTTTAGCTGATTGATTGATTATCTATTATATATATTGTAAAATACAAATATGTGATTATAGTCAATGCTGGTGAATAGAACAATTGGAGTTTAATAGAACTAAGAATGACGATGAAACAATAGAACAATAAATAGAATTAACAAAAGAACAATAGAATGCAAACACTAATTATAATGTAACCAGTGCTTTATAAGGTTATTTTAGTAAAACAGTGAATAAAATTTATAATAGAACAATAGAATGTCAACATGGATTATGATGCAATCAGTATTATACAAAGTTTTTTTATAAATATCAAAAAAATTTAATAATCCTTATAATTCGACTTTAAAAAAATGCATTTTTAAGTACCTTTCTTATACAATGTATAAAATTTCGAAATAAATTTAGATTGCTAGATTTACAACCTCAATTAATATTATAAATTTGGATGGTTTTAAAATTATCGCTATATTTTTTGTTGGTTCAACTAGCTGGGCAAGGAAATAATAGCGTAAAAGCGAATGTTAAGTGAATAAGGCAGAAGTAAATTTAACTGCCATTATTTTATATGTAAACATTTTTTTAACACGAAGTATAAAAAAATGTATAATAAACAAAAAAAATTTTAATTATATATACACATATGTATCAGGTATATACAAGTTTTTAATGTTAGAAATGTCAAAAAATGAAACAAGAAATAAGCTTGAAGAAACAATAAGTCATAATTACCCACATGATAAATTAGTTCTTTGGAAAAGCAAAAATAGAAATTATGACTATACAATTATAAATTTAGGCATGCTTCTCCCACAACCAAATCTTAAGCATACAAGACTTCCGAGATTATATCCTATCCCTAATAATTATAAAATCAAAGCTTTTTGGGAATGTAAGGAAAAAAATTGTATCTAAGCATCAATTAATTATGTTGAAAAAATCTCACATTTCAAAATTGAATGAATATGTGATGAACAAGAATATACGGTAGTATTGTAAGTTTTGTAACTAATTTATTAGCTATTAGTTTAATTGGTGATTTGCCAGTCAACCAGAGAAGATCTGCAAATTTTTATAAGTAAATTTTACTATTGAGCCAAATGTGGAGTGCACCAATCTAAAACTTTTTTTCTTACTAAATAAATCACTTCTAGGCTTATAACAAAAGTTGTAGAGCTTATCAAAACGCATCTAATGGTAGTAAGAACGTTAAAATTGGCTTGTGGTTCTTGAGAAATATTTAAAAAACATTTTGTCAGCAAAATGTTTTTTAAGAACCACCAGGCCAATTTTAACAATCTTGCTACTATTAGATGCGTCTTGATGAGCTCTACAACTTTTGTTATAAGCCCAAGAGTGATTTACTTAGTAAGAAAAAAGGTTTTAGATTGGTGTACTCCACATTTGGCTTAATAGTAAAATTTACTTATAAAAATTTACAGATCTTCTCTGGTTGACTGGCAAATCACCAATTAATAAATTAATTTTTTTTGTTTTTAAAATACAATATCCAGAAAGACAAACAGCATTTTTTGGTATACTTATATTCAGATTACAATTATATGAAGAGCTGACTAAAACTATACCAAAAAGAAATCATTTGAATTGTCCTAAACTTCTTAGTAATTTTAATAATAGTACATATAGAAATAGAATTAAAAGAGCAGCTGAAAATTTATTTAGTAGTTTTGATGCCAAAAAAAATAAGATTTGGCATTCTAAAAATAATCCTAAACTTAAAGAAATAATATTAGAAGCAGGTAAACAATCGTGATCAATAAATTTTGAAAAAGAACAACAATTAAACAAAAAAAAGCACAAAAAATCGTTCAAACGATGGATTGATCCAATATTTCATGAAGAGGATACTGGGACCTAACAACTTCTTCGCATGACTTGCCAAAAGAATGGCTAGTCAGTAAGGAAAAAAGCAATATTGCTGAAATAATGCAAAGGCATATTCCACTATTAATATATAATATAAAAACCACTGACGACTTTGATAATGAAGAACATACATTAGAAAAAGGTGGTTATCGTAATATATCAGCAGTTATCTGATTTCTTATACCAAAACTCATTAGAGATAAGGTTCTTAGTTATGAAGATCCAATACTGCACTTGTGAATCTTGGACAACAGAAGAAATATTGGAAAAAAAATAAAGCATGTGATACTTACATTAGCAATTCTCAATGATCCAAAAAATCTAATGAAACCAGACAATCACTATACAATTACCTTATTTTCAGGAAAAGAAAATTATACTATGCTTAAAATTGCTTTAGAACTGATTAATAACAAATTACAAGAGTTGTATAAAAATCTGTTTATTGATAGGCATAATCAATGATAGGATATTGAAGTATATTTTTCAACTGACTGGAAATTTTAGTGATTATTTTGGGATTTAACACACCTAACGCATTTAATTTCTGCCTATAGTGTCCCTTCACAAAGGATTTGATAGGTGATTTAGATCAAAATTAGACGATAACCAAAAAAATGAACCAAATTAAAGAAACTTTCTGGGTCACCTCCATTTACCTATATTAGATATAATCCCCATGATGAATTACGTAGTAGACCAACTTCACCTGATACTAAGAATAACCAATCAACTGTAGGATTTAGCACTAAATGAATACAAAAATAATGGCCATTTTATAAACGAAATGAGAGAATTAATCTGCAAAGAAATGAGTGCTATTGGAGTAAATTTTGATTTTTGGCAAAATCAAAAAACAAAATTGTGGAAATTTATCTCTTTAATAGATTCAGACAAATTAAAAATAATTGAAAACTTTAACCTAAATATAATACTACCACCAAAACGTGCTAAAAAAGTTCAAAAAGTCTGGTTAGGATTTTGTGAACTCTACCAAATGTTAAGTCAAGACAAGTTAACAAGAAATATGTTTCATAACAAAGCTCATGAATAGTTAGATATATTTTTAACACCTTTACAAACTATTTCCAGCACCAATACAATAGACAAAGGATTATATACTTCAAGTGATATAACTCCTTATATACACGTTTTAGTATATCATGTTCCTGAATTTCTTAATATACATTCGCGATAGAGACTTGAAGCTTTTTCCTGTCAACCGGTTGAAAAAAAGAATCATCAGCACGTGTCAACTTTTTTTACAAAAACGTTAAAAGATGATGGCAAAAAGGAATTTCAAAATCAGCCATATTGGAAATATTGAAAATAGAAAATAGGGCGCTATATTTTTGGCATTTTGATGAAGCATTAAATATAAAAAAATTAATATCATTGATTCTAGTAGAAATTAAGATAAAAAATTATCAGAGTGTTTGGAAGATTCAG